TTCTCTTTCTCTCTCTCTCTCTCTCATTTTTCTTTTTTGTTTCAAATGATACGGTTTTACGCGGGTATTCGTGCAAAAGCAAGAACGAACATCGAAATATCGAGAACGGATCGATAATCGTTTATCGTCATTGTCGCGTTACCAAAGACGAACACTATTTTCCGAGCATTTTAAAGCTTCTCATCTTACGACGGATAGAAGAATAAATATAAAGAAATATCCATCAGTGTCCACGTCAGTCCTCCAAGCCATTAAGTAGCCCCGGCTAGTGTTTCCACCCTATTCTCTAACTCTATGCATCCAACATATATATACGTCATACATATATACATACATGTGTATGTATATATATATATATATATATATATATATATATATATACACATAAACACAATATACAGAGTGTTTCCTTTAAAGAAGAATATATGGATCCATTAAAAAAAATTGAATTTGACTTTGAAATTTTCTCCGTTACTCGATTTCCAAAAAAAATAATTTGCACAATAGGACGTCCATCCCTCATATCAAATAACGTTCGTAAAAACAAATCTTTTTGATAGGTTCAATCTCTTACGAGATATGTATGTATGTATTGCGACATTAAAGGAAACTTCCCCTGTATGTATGTAAAATCATGTTCGTAACGAAATGTGGTGAGTATTGTACAATGATCAACATTTTCCAGGAATTCATACATACAACGAACAACGTGAAACATAAACGTGCACATGCATACATACGTACATACACTGTAGATGCTTACAAGAGGTAAGAATCGTTTTATGTGTGCTGATGTATCTCCTTTTTCTTATCCTCCGAAGACCGATTCATTTCTTTTTTTTTTTTGGTGATAGTACACAAGTACAAAAGCGAAGTAGAATATAACAAACGTGTACGACCATATATGTATATATATATATATATATATACACATATACAAACACGCGTAATGTGTACAACATATAAAGAGAGAGACACGCAGACACGCTTATACACCCATATCATACCCAATGAACACATAAAAACACGTACACGTAGACAAGAGGGGTGGCATAAACCCCGCTGCAAATTGTGACCATAGATAGATGACCTACTTTGTTTTTAACGATCCGTAGTGGCATATTCCTTTCCATTTATGATTTCTATTTACAGGCAATTTTTGCTAGTAGCATACCTGAGATAATAGAGCTCGTAGGGAGTAGGTCCAAGTACAGCGGCGAATACAAGCGGGAACACGGAAAGAGGTATAATTATTTAATAAAAGTACAATATCCTCGCATCTTCTTCTTTTCTACGATTTATGTTCTATCTTTTCCTTTCTTTATTTCATTCCTCTCATTCTTTCTTTCTTTCTTTCTTTCTTTCTTTTCCTTTCTTTATCAATCTTTTCCTTTTAACATTTTTTCTATCCCATTTAAATTAAATTCTTTCTTTTATTATTATATCTTCGCTATTACTTTAACTTCCAGTACGTATATATAGATACATATATATATATATATATATATATATATATATATATATATATATTTTATTCTGTGTATATTCTTATATATGTATGTTTACGATAATTTCAACATGCAACGACGATCGCAAACCGAGAAATTTTATCGATTACTTTCGTAAAAGACACGTATATGCTGCACATACATACTTATTATACATTACATAGTTATTGGTGAACCAGAATAGCATGGCATATCTATTTTTTACAACCTTTTTATAATAATTGATAAATACAAACGAGAACGACAAAAGGTAACAGATTCTTTTTTTTATTTGTCTTTCATTTTTTCTTTTCTTATAATATAAACATACAAAAACGCCAATTACACGCAAACGATTTGTTGTTCCATTCCTGTCCTTTTTTTTTTTTTTTTTATCTTTTTTGTGATATTATTATTGTTTTTTATCGCTTATATAGTTGTCTCTCTCTCTCTCTCTGTCTCTCTGTCTCTCTCTCTCTCTCTTTTTCTCTCTCTCTTTCTCTCTCTTTTGAGAGGAAAAAGAAAGATGGCGAAGAAGGAGCATCTTTAAAACCGTTTCTTTTACATAATTCGAAGCGCTTCTTCTCAGGAATACATATGTACTTTCTTGAATTTGTTCTCCCTTAAAAATTTGAATACTTCGAGTTCGCCTGCGCAGCATTTCGTAAAAAGTTCTGTAACTTTTACACCATGAGCATGATATATTTTCCAACGTAGAGATATTTATTATTCTTCTTCGCCGTCTAAATCCTTAAACGTCTTATAATTTTTTAGATACTCTTTTTACATATAAGACTGACATAAAAAAGAACATATATATACATATATATATACATATAAATATATGTATATATATATGTATATATATATTACATATAACACATGTACTTTATACATATATGTAAATCATTCTCTAAATGCAACACAAATTATAGGCAACAAAGCACGATGTACCATTTTAGTCTGCTACCTCTCTTAAACATCGATCATCAATACGATTATACAAGTACACGCATACAAATATAAGACATATTAATTATCATCATCTATATCATGCCAAAATAATTCCAATGATATACGATCGAATAAATCATTATTTTCAAACGATAAAGAATTGACATTAACTGTATTAACGATTTCAAAATTCATTTTTTTTTTCCTTTTTTCTTTCTTTTCATCGCAGACATTTTGTTAATGTTAATTAAGAAATAAATCGATTCATCGTCGTAGTCGTCGTCGTCGTCGTCCTTTTCTTTTTTTTTTCTTTGTCTTTTTTCTCTTTTTTTTTTTTCTTTCTTTCTTTACACGAAAAACGTGAGACCTGTAAGACGATTATACGCAAAAGCATCGCATGCTTCCTTTAATACGGAAATGCAACTTTACCAACTGCAGCCAATCGTATCGCACATTATGTATACGTCAAATGTAGCAAATATAAAACGCATGTTTACGAGAAGTTAGCTAGCAAAGCTCCGTTTGATCACAAGCAGTTTATGCGAATGACACGTTGTAACAAACTATGAGAAGAGAGATTGGTGTATGGCAACTGGCTGACGTTTGAGAATATCTTTTTTTTTTTGACTTTTTGTTATTAATAAAAAAAAAAAGAAAAAGAAAAAAGGTAAAAAAAACGAATTCAAAATTAAACGATATCCTTGAAAAGGAAAATCGTTTCAATTTATTTTATAAGACACTTTTAAGGATAAGATCGTAAAAAGATTCCATGGCGAGGGAACTAACGGCACTGTCTAATATTATCCTTGAATTTATATACTCTCTTTCATTCCTTTTCTTATTTATTTATTAAAACAAGCGATAATGAAAAAGCTATGATGAAATATTTATTTTGTTATAGAAAATGAACTAAAACCAACTCGTCTCCGAATTTATAGGAACGATTCGGTTATTTAACGTCTTCTTGTGTGTTGGGTTTGTGTTGGAAGGGGTTGTGACGGGGAGTGGTGGGGGAGTTGATCGAAATTGCGAAAAGGTATACTCTGGTGTATAAGCAACGTTCGTTGTTATTAATTCATCAGTTTTTTCGAGAAACGCCAATACTATCGAGGGGATACGTATCCGAAGGAGAATAAAGAGTTGGCGAATTCTACAATTTTTGAAAGGAAATGTACGCGATCGTTCTCTCAAGGGAGCCGTATATTCCCGAACGAAAAGGGACGTTGGAGGTTTGGGCCCTTCGTAAAATCGTCCAAGCATAAATCGAATATATACACGAGGTAGACGTGTGTTACGGTAAGGAAAGGAGAGGAACTAACGTACGTGAATTCATTAAAAATTGAGCATACGAATAAAAAAAAGAAAAAGAAAGGACGAAGAAGACGGAACGAGACGAATGGATGCGAGAGCAAGCGAGACGGAACGGAAGGATCGAATGCGAGAGGTAATGAAAAGAAAAAAAGAAAAAAAGAGAAAAGGAAAAACAAGTAAACGAAAAGTAAATGTATAAATAAAATTTTGTTATATCTTTATAACAAAAAAAAAAAAAGAAAAAAAAAAAGAAAAAAAAAAGAGATAGAAAAAGGATAGAAAAAGAAAAAAAAGACGAAAGGACAAAAGAAGAGAAGGAATGAAGGAACGAAAGGGACGGATGGAAAGTGAACGTGTAGAAAAAAAAAATCAATCAGTTAATCGATCAATCAGTCAATCAATCAATCAATCAAACAATCAAAAAATAAAAAATAAAAAATAAAAAAAAAACAAAACACACTAGAAAACTGAGGATAGGGTTACTGTTCTGACGGCAACGGATGATTGTGGGTGTGTAGGCGGTGTTCGCCAGCTGGATCCCAGAGATCACGGAGCTCGCCGCGAACCGCTGCAAGTACGGTGGCCAGTACAAACGCGAACGTGGACGCAGGTACCCCCCCAGCAAAAAATCCACCTACGTGGAGAACACAGCCAAAAAGACAAAACCCCCCTGAACCCCAATCACCCTTTCGACCCCTTCAATTTTACAATTACCTTAGCCCCACTTTTTTCGAACTTTAGCTCCTTTGATTATTATTCTCATTATTATTATTATTATTATTATTATTATTATTATTATTATTATTATTATTATTATTATTATTATTATTATTATTATTATTGTTATTATTATTACAATTATTATTATTATTATTATTATTATTATTATTATTATTATTATTATTATTATTATTATTATTATTATTATACTATTACTATTATTATTATTGTTAAATATCTACTGTTCCTGTAGTCGCGTAGATTTTGCGAAAGAGGAGCGAAGTAACTCTGGATAGCGAAGTGACCCCGCGTTCTTATTTTTGCACATAGACACATATATGTATATATATGTATATATATGTGTATATATATATATATATATATATATTTATTAATTTTTTCTTTTCTTTTGCCAAGAAATTAATTTCACTTGTTGCTTGTTTTTCTGTTCGTTAATTTTTATTTTTCGTAGATAGTTTAGAAACAGATCAAAATAGGAACTATTAGTAGTGTACTATTGACCGATCG